CTAGACCAGTGAATCGTTTCAATTCAGGTCACTGACAATTTCATAAAACAATAACGTGCTGGTCGGTTTTTTGTAATGTACCTCTATTCACAACGAATTGTTGTTTCAAAATTTATCTATCCCGTCCATAACGTTCACTGTATTCTTCCCCTCGAAACGAACATCAATCTGCCCTTTCCCTCATGATATTTTTAAACAATTCCTTTCAATGTTTACCAAAAATTGCAATATTTTTCGCCAACTTTGAATGAAAACAAAACATAGATACTATATGCAGAATAATTTTTTCAAACCATTCGTCGCCATGTCATTTTTTTTTCAAATGGATTGACTTAAAAAAAAATGAAGATAAAACTCCAGACGAATAATAAAATACGCCAACTTGCAAATGTCAGAGTTCCAGCTCCAAATGATCAGAAAAATGCATAAGGCATAAATTTCGAATATAAAAGTATAATAGTCCCGCTAGCATTAAAATCTATGAGAAAAAGTCGCACTATCAACCGTTTTAAAACTATGAATAATCCCACCACTTCTAAAGACTTCATTTTACAACCCAAAATTGAACGAGAACACTAAAGAATCGTCCCATAACACCACAATCATGATCACGATAACAGCCCCAACTTTTTATTTTCCACAAATTGCCACAGAAATACCTGCACCTCACATTTAATTACTCGAGGACCATTACGCGTATTTATTTGACAATGCCAGGTAAAATTAAACAGTGGGGAACTGTGCGAAACATTTTTATTAGCCGCAAATGTGATCATTTGCAGTATCAAACAATCAATTACCCCACGTCGAATGCAATAGATTACGCTGTTTATTTCCCTCTTGGATAAACTAAAATTCAATTAATCCAGGCAACAGTGACACGGTAGGTAGCGACACAGCAAGTATCAACAAATCTAGCTACGTTATATCCTACAAAGCGTTGTAAAATTACACACGAGCGAAATGAACTGGGTGGGGTTAGTTGAGAGGTGGTACACACTGTCATGTCTACAATACTCCTGTCTTAGACACCCTCAAAGCAGACACAATTTCGAAATTGTTATGTCAGCTTTGCCACTCCACAGACAAACTGTATACCAATGACGGACAAACATACGACCACATTTCTCAGCTTTAGCTGAATCGCTTACCGCATCCTGTCTTCCTCAATTTACCATCTGCCTTATTCTCGCTTTCCTTGTTCCTTTGACTGTTGTATTTTGTGTTTTGCTTTCACCAGTGAAAACAGCGTACTGGAAGGATGAGTACGCAAGGGAGTTGCATTGGAAATGGTCTTGTATATACTTGTATATATTCCAGAGACTCCACATGGAGATGGTGAAGCATTATTTAATATTCATGATCTCATGGGATGATGATTCCTAAATATTAATTTAAAATTTAGAACAATTATTTAAAATAAATAACCGGTAACTCTCAGAAAAACCTCGGTATAATCACAGTTCACTAACTATCGCAAACCACTTACCAACTCCCTCTTAATCGACTTATCAATACATTCGATGTATTTCGATCCGTCAGAACTTTCCTCCGACCTGTATCGACAGCCAGAATACTCCCGTCTAATACCTTCCGCCCCACCTCCGCAACAGGTGTCGATTTCAAATTAAGATGAAGACATTGAGTCACGACTCGAGTGTATTGACTGTTATTCTTCAACCTTTTTTTTCACGATTAATCATATACAACTCAGAACCTCTCATTACTACATGAAGCAAAAAATCTTCGAAAAATAGAATTACCCGTTAAAATATTATTTCCTGAAAAATTACGGGACCAGCTTGAATTATTATGAGACATTGGTAAAATTATCTGATTAGATTTTTTTCCTCTGTCTAGCCCTGAGAACATGACATGGCATTTTTTGGTGAATAAATTTCTTTATACGGATGCGGTTTAACTGGGAGGAATAAATATTTCGTCCAAGACAATAATAAACTCGAAACACAATCGATACATTAAAGTTAATGTTTCATAATGTTTATGCGAGGAAGAAAATGATTCGACAATGGGTGAATGGTCTTATAATCGTCCGGTTTATTGTGCATGACTTACAAACCTCATTAAAATTCTACATTTGCAATAGCCGGAGTGGTCGTTTCATAATATACAATTGCATGTGTGCAGTACACGATTTAAATCACGAGAGGTTGAAAAAATAAAATTTCTCAAATGGTATGGTCTCCCCTGTTTTTCTCATTCAGCCAGTGTTCAAGCCCCTTGTTCGGTATATCATATACCGGTTTTCTCGTTCATTGTGATCATCCATCTATCCGAAGACCATCGGATGCTTGCGGTGGATAGGAAATACTTCTAGATACTTTGCCTCTATTATTTCTTACGCTGTGAAAGTCTGTTATTACCTTACCTGTGCAACACTACCGTAACACGCCAATGTCAAGGACCTGCACTCTTGGAAATTTTCAGAAATAATACGATTGTACATACCAAGAGAGAAATGAGACCGACACTGAATATTTTGTGTAGAAAAAAGACTTGGATGATTGAATTCAATAAATTTCACTGAAATTTCCCGACAACTTCCCGACTCTTTAAAATATATTTCGTTATTCCTTTAAAGTAAAAATTCCGATCCTATATCATTGTGATCCTACATGTAATCCAGAAATAAAATTGCAAAATGGCAAACTGCATATTAGAACATATAATGGAAGAATTCTGCCGACAAATAATGCAGACGTTCAATATTGGTTGTTTATGAAAGAGACTCTCGTACATAATACAAGCTCACTCCTGCATAATACCGGAAAATTCTCTCATGCATTTTCCAGATTTAGCTCAACATTTGTTTAACCCCATTTTCCTGTTGTTTGCGAGAAAGAATCCTGCGATTTACCCAGATCTTCAAATATTCTCTCAGGACAAAAATAAACTGTTTCTCTCTCCTGTTCTTTTTTCTCGTAGAGTTCCCTTATTTTTTGTCATTGCAAGTGGGCCAGAGATCGCATTCACACTCGAGCCCGAGGAAATCTCTTCAATTCCACTTCAATTTCGCTGTTGAGATAGTTACCTTTAGTATACGAAGAACAGGCATTCCTTCCACCCCCTATTACCCCTTTTGGCCATGTTGGAAAATCCCAGAGCGGAATTGAATATCCCCAACGACCTACTTCGTTATTTCCGTCGAAGCTGTAACGTGTTCTTTCCACCCCCGCAGTGTTTCACCCCTGTTTCTTGGCTTACTCCTCTGACAGATTCCTTTTTACCCCCGCGAGGTATAAGAAAGTCGCAAGGTTATTTCAATTTCCCTGTGCAATCTCTTGTATATTCTCTTCCCTCTATGTGACCTTTCTTTTTATAACTCTTTGACAATTTTATTCCAACTCTACAAATGAAATTAGCTATTTCAGTTATGAACACCGACAAAACTACTATTTGTGGAGCGAAATTTACATTTGCGCGGCACCCATCTGTGGGATTAAAAAACAAATTGGAATTTCTGGGGAAGTTGAAGACTGATGGAAAAAAAATTAAATTTCACGAGTAGTTGTAGTATATTATAACATCGGTAATTCTCAATTCTGAAGTTTCGGGAAATTCTAGAAAATTGGCGGTAGAAAATTCCTAAGATACACGTAAGGAGAAATTCTTTAGAACAATTCTTCCTGCAGTTACGGAAATTTTATTGCCTAATACGCGAATTTTTCCGGCGTACTCTTGGAATTTTCACATAACCGTAAACTGTATTAGGAGTTTCAGTAAATTTCTTTAGGAACAATCAAAATTTTTACTTGAAACATAAAATTATAAAACAGCACTAAAATCTTTCATAGCCGATGGATTATAATTTTCGATTCGAATTTTTTCTTATTCTAGCAAATAATTTCCTTCTGAGTTTGTTAGTTTAACAATATATTAACCAAAAATTCATGTCAGTGCCTTGACCATAAAAGTTTCTCGATTTAAACGAGATGGAACAAGGAAAGACATTCTGTCTCAACAAAAATACCTCTAGATTCATTTTATTTTTTAATGCCCATAAGGAGGGAATAAGTGGATCCTGCGGAATTGGAATAGCACTTCAGTGGCAATTAGGATGCCTCTCAAAAAGGTGTTTTTTCGGAATAAATTCAAATGGTAGATAAAGCCCCTTCGCTCCACAAACAATGGCCCCAGTAATATTTCCCTTCTTGGGCTCTTGAACGACCGATTGAACTTCAATACCCGCTTGAACGAGGAGCATCAAGAGGATAAGAAACTGTAAGAGGGCAGAATGAAAATAAAAAAAAAACGTCAAATGGTGGAAAAAGGTGAATGAGGGTTTGGGATGAATTGGAAGCTACATTCGATATTTAGGATTTACTATCGTTCCAGAATTCCTATAACAATGGGTACACGGACGAGAAAGTTTTCATTCCGGTACCTGAAGCCATTTTCCTCCACTCAAATGTACTTCTCTCTGGAGACATTTTTTTCGTAAGAGACTGGATTGAAATAAAATGAAAAAAAAAACAGGGAGAGGGGAATGTGAAATTTCCATACCATCGACTTTTCAGGGTGTATCTGGTGAATACCACGGAGAAGGTGATATTGTACTGAATGGAGGTGTGTGTCGTGAAGCACCTCAGATTTGAAATTTATCGTGAGCTTTTATGCTTTCGTCTTTTGGTCCCTGAAGTAAATCCATCTCATCTCGCCCTTCCTCACTTTTGACGTAGATCAGGTAGCTCTTGCGTATCTCCTGGAGGTACTGTCTACAAATCACCACAGTAAGTTACCTGAATCATTTTTCAGAACGATTTGCGGAGAAACTTTGTACGAATTCGGGAAGAAAGTGAATTTGTGAAGTCTATTGGAATGGAATTTACTGAAGAAAATCTAGGGCACAGAGCGCTACGGAAAGAATTGTCATTTTGGGGGATTCAATCATAATTTTCTGAGATTTAAAAAAGTAGAGGAAATTGAGAAAAAGACATGTAAAATATATAAATAATTTTATTGTTTTATAATACACTGTCCTATCTATATTACAAATATACAAAATTTGTATTTACATTTACAGCCCAAGGCGCCTGTGCCTCATCCGAGCTCTGAACAAACAAGAAGAGTAGCGAAGAACAATTTCCCATAATTCTTTTTCATTCTCATTAATTTTTTTTTTCCATTTGAATAAACACGAATCGTCGGCTCAACGACTGCCCGTTAAGAAAGAGAAAAATGGTAATTCGTTGTAATACAAGATACGAGGAGTATGCTGATTCTTGCACTAATTACGATTTTTTTTAACTACGAAAGCTATCACGATTTTTTTTTCATTTTTTCTTTTCAAATGTAGAAATGGCTATTAAATGGTAATCGGCAAATGGCATTATGTGTACTCCAGCGCAATAGTAAGAATTTCTTCATGATCATAAGTAGATAGAATAGTCTCAATACTGTGGAATCCTGGAATTAGAAAAAAAAATGGATAAGTACCGGTGAACCTATTGTTCATACACCCGGGTTGTGAGCGAGAATTCTTTAGAGAACTTGCAAGTTTTTAATGAGTTGAATGACTAATGAGTGAGGAGTTTTTCAGGCTTACAAATGGCTCTTGATAAATGTTCAATCGCTGACGTTCGTAAAATTTCGAGTGAAAACTTTTGATATTTTTAAAAACTAAGGATTCATGAATTCCGGATAGTTTCTTTATTACAAACTAGGTCCAAGACGTGCGCCATTGCGCACATTCACGGAAAATTAAGGCTTTAGGGTTGAAAGTCCATCATAATATAATTGAGTTGAAGAGGTATCTCAAATGTTTAAACAAGCATCAGTAATATCTGCATCGCCTCCCCTGCACCCCTTCTTACACCGGATATTGCAAATTGCAGGTGAGAGTTACCAACGGCTGAAAAAAACGACGAGATAAAAAAAAACTCACCGTCTCTCCCGTGATATCCAGAGACTCCATACGTGGATAAAGTTCGATAATACCCCTGGCTAGGATTCACATCTGAAACAAAAGGAACAGTACGAAATTGAATGGAATCTCTTTCTCCAGCAAACCGCTCCACTTTTATACATCTACAATTTTTTTTATTTCCCATTTCATTTCTCTCCCAACACCAATACCCAGAGCCCAGTGACTTGTACAAAGGGTAGAAACAATCTTCACAGGCGAAACTCTATTTCGTAATGAAGAAAGGTTCAACAGAATTCCATCATGAGAGAGAATTTCGGGATCTCTGTCAGAGAATGAAACCTTGGGGGTCGAGTAAAAATCCGCAGGACGCCACGGAATTTCGTATACAGTAATAAAATTCCTCTCTCCCTCTCACACACATGTGCTCAACTTTCAGCACGTAATCACACCCGCGAGATATACAGGAGTTACACGAGAGTAAAAAAGATAGGATTCTTGTTTTCTTTCACGTTTTTCCCCTTCGGAAATTTAACCTTATGTATTACACATGTATGTGCACTATTCTTACTCTCGTATTTGACCACGATTCCAGCTGTCGCAGCTTCGATCGTTCCCCCGAATTTACGATCCTTGAATTACGATCCCTTGGTTTGGGGGGGCCAAGAGGGTGTCAAGAAACGTTTCAAACCAGCGTAAAATATCACATTCCACGTACCTCAATTTTACGGTTTTTTGAGGATTGGTAAATATATCAGGGGCTTCGGTGAAAGGGCTGAATTCGTGCAACATTCAATACCTCGGGCTGAAAAATCGTTAAACGATTTATAGATTATTCTATCATTTGTTCCCCAGCAACAATTTGCCGATTTCGCTGACCGTGCACCGACGTTATTTCTCTGGGAATCAACACTACCAACTCACACCTCCAGAATATATTCCCACCTCGGCATGACTGCACTGCATTCACATAGAATTTTATATGATCTTGTCACCGTTCTCCAGCATCAACACCAATTTTCCACTTCATTCTTCTCTTCAACTTCCTCAGCCGATTGCGCGTTTACCCGTCTGTACGGCTATTTCCCTCGCCTCAATCCCACAGAATCCCCTGGAATCATCTCCGAGAAACTCATGGTTCTCCGTTATAATCCACAGTAAATTCGATATTGAAGGAATATAGAATTGCTCGTGTGAAATAGGGTATCTCGTCGCTATTGAACTCTATAATCTAGAGGTACATCCAGTAATTAAAGAAAACCGCCGACTGGAAGCAGGAAGTCGTACAATAATAATCCTAGAGTACAGCGTTGACTCGCATTGGAAATGGGACTGCCTTTTTTACTCCTCGGTTAAAAATTCATTGGAATTTAAATCATAGAGTCATTTGAATTCCAACTAATCCGAGTTTTCATTGATTTTTTATTGAAACAATTCGTTGAATTTTCGATTCAACTAATTCAATTAACGAATTCGTCAATGAGGTACAGAATTTTCATGTTACTCTGCCGTTGTAAAAATTTTTCATTATTTTCACTTGAAAATTCAAGTATCATTTTCCAAGAGTATATTTCATCTCGTTTTGGTAATCAAAGTGCGATAAATTCAGAAGGCGATATGTTTCAAGGGTCCCAATGACATAAGTACAGAGAGGACAGCTGTAACGACTGTGGAGGGCATATCGCAAGCATCACGAGGCGATAGAAGAGAGGAGTGCCAGTGAGTCCGACAAGAAAAGAGAAATAAAAAAAAAGTACTGTGAGAGAAAAAAGTAGAGAAGAAGCCCCGGTGGAAAAAAGTTAATGGAATTTGTGTAAGAAAAACCCCCGGGGGATATTCCGTCGCAAATATCAAAGAGTGGCCCAATTATTGTCGAAGCAATCTCTTTTGCTCTTTATATCCGAACGTACACAGCGTTACGAGCATTCTGTCGAGTCAAAGGCGTAATGCGCTTTGAATGAACGCAGAGAGGAGTAAAGAGAAGTAGAGAGAAGTAGAGAGATGGGTGGAAAAATATTAAATGAAAGGAAACGAAAAACGCGTTAAAAAAAAAAACTCAAGCAATACAGTACTTGGAATGAGCGGAAGAAAATGCCTGGGGAGTCCTTGGCGTGACGGCAGATAATCGTGAATCAACGAGGAAACGCGATGAACAAAGCGTCGACTAAGTACCTCGTCAGCGGGTGTAATTTTTTCTCCGCCTCTTGTCGCCGACCGAGGAGAGAGAGACCCTCTTCTTCTTCCGAAAAAAAAATAAAGTTGAATTGTCCCGTCGTCCGTGTTGGCACATGACTTACTACATATAGAAACAAAAAAAAACGAGTCGAGGGTACAGAAACGATGAGACCGCCCCAGGAGGTGGGGGGGTTGGTAAGAAGAGGACGCGGTAATTTGTAAACTCGACGTGTGAGAAAAGTGGACAAAACTTGTAATAGAATCATCTTTTCAGCACGACCCGTCCCCAACAATTAAGATCATACCAAGAATCTGGAGCTCGATACTCAGGGAAGATTCTCTTTCACTTTCAAACCATTGTCGAGTATCTTTTCAACTATTTTTTTTTTTTCAGGGAAAAAATACATGCCGTTATCCTATTCTACCGAGGAATGGAATATTCGACTGTAAATTCGACACAACTATTATTCAAGAGGCTAGTGATGCTAGTATGAGCTTATACGCAGGTTGAGAGGATGTGCTTGAGAAGCTGAAGATCCTGCGAAGATGTCGGAGGGAGAAAAGAAGAAAAGGGAGAAATCTCTGGCTGAAGAATACAGGGGGGGAGAGGAAGCCCTTATTGAAAACAGGCTCAACGGCCGAGACCCATTATTCCACCAGCATCACGGTCCATTGTACCAAGGCGTGAGGCTGTAGAGTGAGCATCTGCCTGTGTCTATCGGCGTCTTCGTCTCTTTCGCTCCGCTGGTTTTCTCATCCTTTGGCCATATTGTATACGCATGTATGCACGCGATCACTCGTGTTCTCGTAACTTTAACAATTCGAAATATTGCCTTTTTTATTCCGACGGAGCAACTTTTCGACACGCATTCCTCTTGCTCATTGGAAATACACGAGACTTGGCATTGTTACTTGTCCCTGTGATCAATGTATTTCAACTATTGACCGTGGCCTCGAGTATTTGACGACAGAGTGGGCGGTAAAATTCCGTGTTCATCGTTTGTCCATTTTTCTTTTTCAAAGGCAATTTTCGGCCTATTCGCCCGGTCTTTGGGCTTTCATTGACACCGTAGGAGCCACTCGGTTACTCCGAAGTCATCCGTGAAAAGAATTCAAAAATAGTAAAAGATTAGCCCATCGAAGCGTGAACGAGACTCGACAGCGAAAAGAAAAAAATGGAATTGAGTGTTTGTCTATTGACCGAGTTGGTGTTCTTTTTGCCTCACTTTTGATTTGATATTTTCTCCGTTGTCTCGTTCCTTTTCTCTCATCCACCCTCACTTTTAACACCCACTGTTTACTTTATGACCCTCTCACGAATGTTTATACGACGTGCAAAATCGATTCCCAGAGTACAGGGTTTTTTGTCTGGGGGGTTTTTTTTTCAATTGTTAGAAATGCCGAACACAAACGATGTGAGGGAAGTACATTGGACCGCCCACGTGCCGATGAACGGGAGGAAAGAGAATCACATTTATGGAATTTTATTCTTCACCATTTCGCTGGCTCCCAATAATGCGATTACATTGTTTTACATGACTCGTGAGGGGATAAAAAAAAAACTGGTGATTCTAAAGCGGAAATACCGAAAATCGTTCATTCCGCACGTTTCTCACTTACAGTATTTGGCTGGAAGGTGATATTCCCCGATATTTGTAGTGAGATTGTCGATGGTGATAGTAGGAAGTGGTGGAGAAATCAATTAATGCCATGTGACGCAGGAACTTGTCTGCAGACTACACCCTTTTTTGGCCCTTTTCTCCCTATTCTATTCGGTTGTTGCTCTCTCCTTATCGCTCTCCCTCCACAACTGCGGCAATTCTGGAATTTAATTCACGTCACGTTTTCCCCAGTGTGCTGATTGATAGATTGATTGTATTTCCAAATTCTCGGTGATGCTGCACCTTATGGTGCCTCCCTTTTTTTCGTTGTCTATCCGAGCCTCATCTTCTCCTAATTACCGCGGGCTTCGTGCTGAGACTCGATGAGCTCACTAACGAGGGTGGAGAAATTGATTCTTTATGCTGTGTATTTTCGGTTTTACCTCCCTTCGACTTCCTCTGCGTCTTCTGGACTTTATTGACTTTGTTATAAGATAATGGTGAATCATTTTCCATGTCACGAGGGTGAGGGGATAGCTAATTGATGTATTGTGGGATATCAATATTAACCTTTAGCAATTTACGAGTACAAATTACCAGAAAGGAAAATTCTTAATTGTCGGTTTAACTCTTCTTGTAATTTTTTGGATTCTTCAGTCACACTGTATATTATTTCTCCAAACAGCGACGGTTGCGAATAGGATTCTCTCGAACTCCCATTTTGCCCGTATGAAATTTTCAGAATGCTCATATTCGTTTCAGCTATTCCAGACAGATAAGATCCGCGCAAGAATAAGAAAATGGAGGAGAAAACGTCTCACGAACGAATGAAATGTAACGCAGTGGTACGGTTACGAATAATTTGCTCGAATATGTGAGGTATAAAAAAAAACCGAGAAACACGAGTCACGAACGCTGGAATTGCGATGAAAAAAAATTCAATTTCTCACGTTTCAATTCCTATTAATATTGATTTTCGTTGTACCATTCAGTATTGAATGCACACGTCATTAATTACCTCTCGACCGTAAATGTCTCCATTGAATTGAGCGTTACTCATTCATTATGAAAACTTCTATTAATCTGTAGAAATGCAGTTCAAGCAGAGAGTCCACACCTTTTTACTTCAACCTCAACAATTTCCAACTGCACAGCGTACTTTAGAGCTGCATACCCTCCCCCCTCAGCGCATATAAATGAATCGACCAGTAACATCTCTCTCCATCGCAAAAAAAAAAGCCTCCAACCTCCTCAACCAAGTCCACCGACCATGCACTAAGTCACTTACATCAGTTAACTTTCTCATGAATCATGAGATAATCCAATTTGGCCTTCAATTATCGACTCGGTTGCACTGCGGGATTTAATCGATTGCATTGCATCAATCTACCCCATGCACTAGGTATAATATCGATTTTGGCGGGAAACTTTGCTCGTCTACAATTTCCTCATCGTTCCCGTGTACTCGCGCTCCCTTGGAATTAATTGGAAGTCGGTACCGCGATTCTCCCAGCCATAACGTCTACCCAGAAAACCGTATCATCTCAACGCAACTCAAATCCGATGATCCGGCGAATCGTCGCGTAACGCTCGTACGATTAATATAACCACTGGGAAATTAATTAATTTCAACCCTCGAACCGTGAAAAAAAAATTCCAAAAGACCAAATACTCTACTTTATCTCATCATTTCTCTGAGCCATTGAGCCACAAATAGCTCTGTAACATGAAAGGCACCCGAATCCCTCAAAAAGATGACAGAGGAGCCGCCCATGAAATAGCTATTTCTCACCGTCGCATCTACTATCGAAGAACACCAGGGCCCCGTACGACAATAAGTCTCTAGTCCCCATTGTGCGTGCAAATGTATTTTTTTCGTAATCCCAAAGAGAAAGGGGCCCGACACATGGGGGGGCGTATCGATGCAGCTTATCGGCGGCTGAGCCGTTAATGGAAACGAGACCGCATTCGAGACACCCGAGTTTAATGCAAAAAAAAAAATAAAAAATAAAAAAACTACCCCGACCCACCCTCTCAGGCTATTCCCAACTGAAATAACCACCATTTTCCAGTCGTGCGAGACACACGTGCTCACAGCCAACGGATTCAAGCATGCGCCAGCGATCCGTCATTCGGTTGCAGCATTGCGTTGGCGTGACACGTCTCATAAAATAAAACCCCACATAAAAAACCGGTGATGTGGAGGGGAGAAAAAAAAAAGAAGTGGATGAGAGTCAGTAGGACGATATGTAACAATCCACGGGCTCATTCGCTCGATTTTTTTTTTTTAAGCCCTCGTCCCTCCAATCCTCCCCAGACCCACCGTCCGATAAAATTCGTGGTAGAGAATTTGTCATGCTCACAGTTCATTGGATTATCCTCGTGAAATTTATAGAGCAACGTACGACACGACTCTTTGTTTTTCACCCGGGTGCATCATGGGAATATCATAGAATGGGTACATAACGCCCCACCTGATAAAATTAATTGGAATATATCTGGATATCCACGAATATCTAGGTATTACGGTGTATGGTTACGACTGGAAGCTACTCGGCAACTCTATAAAGATGTGAATCGAACGAGAAAGTCGGTTGATAGTACAACGGTTCCAAAAGCCCCTCACTCCCCCCCTCACACCCTGAATTTTAGTTTTCCCCTCTTTCCCACTCCACCTGCAGGTAAAACACCTCATATATTCTATCATATCTGATCTTCCGCACAAACTCACGGTATCTCTCTTCCACCAACTCGCACTATTTCCCCCCGTACCCTCCCACCTCGGGCTGTGCAAATGTTGTGAGAAATCAGAGATAGAAGTAAGGTAGTGCAAGTGCATCATCTGTGAAATATAATTGTACACCTCGTCGCATCGTTCAGGTAGCGACCTGTCGATTTCATCGTGCAATATTTTCTGCTCCATAAAATACATTCTCGTTAAAGGGGGAAAAGGTAGTGAGTGAGTAAGATAGCGGAAGAGCCCGAGGCTGTATTTTTCAAGTGCCTCTCAACGCGTTGTTTATAGGATATATATTCACGATCATCTGATTTTCCCGTCTTACACGATCAAGTATGCAATTCATAATGTTATTTTCACCATCGATGAGCCCTTCAGGGCAATGCCAGTGTATTATAATAATTTATGAGATTTCATCGGCCGATAAGTTTGGTGCATGCGTTAACACCCGAAAGGTAATAATCCAGCAATTGCCCAGTGAAATGTTAGAACAAGCTAACTTACCTAATTTATGGTCCTATGCCCACAGGTGCTGGGTCGGTGGTGGTGGTGGTGGTGGCAGTGGCAGTGGTCGATCCATTACTGGTATTGGTGATACATCGGGCATGGCAAATTTAAGTTTCTGCCAGAAGAGTTTATCACCCCAGACGAGTACAGTGTGCGAAGAGATTCTTTTTCTTAGATCAGCATCGAGATCGCGTGGACAAACACCACCAACGAGAAGAAGTATGACTGATCTGCCTTTTCCCCTGAGCGCCTCTCTGAGAGCTGATTTAAATTCAAATCTCGCCCATTCGCCGTGCAAGAAATTACGTGACAAAATGAGAATGGTACGTCTGGAAGAGTCGGCAGCTTCAGCAACGGCATCAGCAACATTAGCACCAGCACCCAAGTCTCGATAATGTAAACACAGACGATAGGACGACTCAAGACCGGGCACTAATACTCTCGATACAAAATTTTCATCAACTGCTGAGTAAGATATATAAGCGTCAAATGGCTTTTCACGATCCTCGAATGCAGCAGTTTTGTAGCAAGCACGGAGGCCACATCTACTGGCTGCCCATGTTCTGATAGTTCTGCGATGTCGAAATGCACCGCAGAGTAATGCAACCATGGCAAAGAAAAGTACGGCTGTGGCTAGTAGGAGTGGCAGATATGCCTCCAAGGGCCGCGTCTCAATAGCTGATGTTGTACCCCTCAATGCTGCACAGTTTATTACGGATCCATTGGCTGGAAGCGTTATTGGCATACCAAGTGCACACGTGACCCGTTTCCAATCGCTGATCTTAGCTGTATTCTTCGACATCCAGTCACGCACGTGATCGAGATATGTACACTCGCAGCTCCATGGATTATTTGAAACGCTAATGTCGACTAGATATGGATTCTGAGCGAGTTGCCACAGGGCAAAGGTACCCAGACGATTATTGTCCAGTCTGAGGACCTCCAGCTTACTCAGCTGCAAGAATGTACCGTTGTCGATGTGGGCAAGCAGGTTATTCTGAAGATAGAGCTCCTTGAGATTCTCCAGTGGCAGCAGTTCTACACCATTGAGTTCGGCAATTTTATTGTTCTCAAGATGAAGGACAATGAGGCGCTTCAAACCGCTGAAGGTGTGATTGTGAATGGCAATTATGTTGCTGTCGTTGACATAGAGCACCTCCAGATTTTTACGACCGATGAAAGAGTGTGACGTGAGCTCACCGAAATTGTTACCATCGAGGTAAACCTCCGTGGCGTCCATTGGAAGTCGTCCCGGTAGACTTTTATACCCCGAGTTGGAGCAATCAACGACATTAGCTGACCATGATTGATCGTGGTAGCACGTGCAGTTGGTTGGACAAGTCATCTCACAATCACATGCATCAAAGTCACAGCAGTGACACAGGGCAAAGCAGTGAGTTTTGTACGTACAGAGAAATTGTGATGGTTTAGCTTCGAGGAGGGGTATGAAAGAACGATGTCTATCATAGGGGAGACGGCAGTACACTGATTCGAGGTCCATGACCTTTGGATGCTGTCTCATGGGCAATGAATCTATCCTCTGGAGCCATTCGAGCGTACAATCACAAATGAAGGGATTTCCGCCGATGTAAAATTCGGGTAATGGACGATTCTCCGGTACTTGCGCCAACTGGAACACTGAAAGATCCATTTTCACTATCTGATTGGCGTACAGATCTACTCTGGTGAGATTCTCCTTGTCGTGAAAAGTTTGTGGCTCGACTGTATGAATCAAGTTGTCGTTGACAAAGAGAAGCTCGATTGAGTCTGGCACAGATCTTGGATGGATTTTCGTCAATTTGTTGAAAGATATGTCGAGTGTCTGCAGGTGAAAACCCACCGGTGAAACACCGAGATCAGTGATCTGGTTCTTGTGGAGATCTAACCACTGGAGATGCTCTGGTAGAACGCTGTAATCAAAATGTTTTATCATGTTGTCGGACATGTTGAGCCATAGAAGACTCGGCGCATTGGCGAATATGCCAGATATATCCTGGAGGAAATTGGCGTCCAGCCTTATTGCCTGCAATGCTGGACTTCCCGAAAATGCAGCATGTTCTACATACTGAATTTGATTCCTGGCTAAATTGAGAATTTGAAGTACTGGCAATTCGGAGAGTGCCTCTTTAGTCACGTTAACAATCTCATTACCAATCATACGCAATCCGTACAGACTAAACATTCCTCTGAAGCCTGGCTTCTCAAGGTTCTTTATTTGGTTCTCACCCAAGTCCAAAGTTTTCAGCATTCGCATGTCTTTGAGAGCAACGGGTATTGCGTCGAGATTGTTCCCTGACAAATTGAGATCCTGCATGCTGGAACAATTTCTAAAAGCATCTGGATGAATACCTTCCAGTAAGTTTGAGTCCAACGAGAATAATGACATGGCAAATAGACCATTAAGTGAATATGCGTCTAAATAAGTGAGTTTATTGTGTGCCAGGTCGAGTGTGTGAAGATTACTCATTGGTGAGAATGTGTCAGCGGGTATTGTATCAATCTCATTGTGATGGAGATTGAGTATCTGTAGTGTGTAAAGGTCTTTGAATAGCGCTGGATCGACTTTGACAATTTTATTACGCGAGAGATCCAGCAAAACCAGACGAATCAACCCAGCGAATGTGCCAGCATTGAGCCAGGAACTCGTCAATGTATTCCTTGATAGATCCAAGGTGACAAGCTGATTCATGTCAGCCACAAGACCCGGCGCAAGTGCACTGATCGAATTGTTCTGAAGCCGCAATTCCTTGAGTGTATTCGTAGCATCCTTGAACATTCCAGCGGGAAGTGCGACAATTCTATTACTCGATAGGTCAAATACTTCCAGCGATCTCAAACCACGTAGTGCACTGTCATCAACCATGCTGATGGCATTACCGGATATATTGAGTGTTCTCAATCGTTTAAGGGCTGAAAATCCAAATGGCGGCAGTACGGATATTTGATTATTCGATACATCCAAACTCTGAATATCTAGAGAGCACGCAACCGGTAACACTGTTGACTCTAACTCTCGTTTAGGATGATTTCCAGTGTAATCACTGAATCCCAATTCCGTAACATCCTTCAACATATTCCACGACACATTCAGTGACACTAAATTCGCCAATGGACAGAATATACTCTCGGGCAATTGCCATATATTGTTGAAAGACAGATCAATTTTTTCAATCAATGGCGTCATGTCAAAGGCACCACGCTCAAGCTCAAGACTGAGCTTACTCTTCCTACCATTGAGACTTTTAATTGTTAAATTACGCAAATCCCGAAAACCGTTGAGCATCCTCGCCGGCCAATAAATGAATTTGCATCCAATTAAACGAAGTTCACGTAGGCGCCATAGATGAAGAAAATCCTCGACGATTGTTGAACTCGTACCAGTCTCTGGATCCCAATCCTTACAAATGATATTCATCGTTGTAACATAGTCACTGGTAACACGTGATAAATTTGAATGGGGCGAATTGTCACTATCCATAAATCGATAGATACATGTTAATGTAGCATCGCTTTCCCAATTGCAGTGTTCAGGTACTTCGAATTTGGGTGGTGGTGCACTGGTAACAGCCAGCACATGACATACACCAAATACCAAACACCAAGTTAGTCCCATGGGCAACGATAACGGGGATTTTTTATCAGTGAACTTCATCGTTTGATGATTATTCTGCTTGCTCATTACCGCCAGGAATTTCTCAACAAATCCACAGGGCTCTCATTACTCAAGTGTTTCTTCCTCTCCCTCTTAGTGTTTTGTTGCAACCAAGAGTTACATCGAGGTACTAGTGACAACGGCACAATACCACACTTCCTCCTGGTTTTCTATAAAAACTAGATGCCCTGTGGCAAGCATCTCGGCACTTGTATTTCCGCTCGTCTGGATTTTGCCCTCTCCGTTGTCTTGTCCCTCGTTTTCTCTCGCGCTCGATCTCCCTCTTTCTTTTCTATTCAAACCAACAATTGTCCTTCCTTCTTGGAAATTATTCCGTGCACGCCTCTTCTCTCCTCTCCTACTCCCATTCGCCGTGCGGAATGCGAAACCGTTTCGCGCTTCACTCTGCAGCTCCTCGTTTTCCTTACCTCTCTTCAACTTCTACCTTCCCTCCTTTGTTATTTTTCTATACCTTTTTTCACTCCAACTTCTTTCTATCTTATCACCTTTGTCATGTCCGAGGTAACGTTACTCACACCGTGACGAGTGATGTTTTCCTCGACAAAGTCGTTACTGCACCCCACAAATTTACGAGTTTCACTGTGACATTGAAAGGGAGCTAACAAAGCAAGTCGTCAATTCCAGGGACTTTCAACAGATACTTTAACCATGATACCCCAAAACGTATGCAATCAACGTGATCAGTGAGATGAGTACATTGTGTCCAAAATTCTCAATACCATTCACCCCTCGATGTACACAAAATCCCTGGAGCTTTCAGTACTTTATATCTCATCACAGTTGTTCAAACCGGTCGTTAATTATCCACATCAACACCCTACCTATCACGCACAGAGGGGAATCCCGAAAATTCAACTTCACTATTATCCCTTGGTCTTCTCAATAATGAACGAACAACAAGTATTCCAAAAATCCTCAGCTATCGGTCAACAGTGCACAACCTTCCCGATCGGAGGCGAACGCACGACTGACGAGAGATTTTCGTGGTCTGTAACTCGACGCAGCGTCCGCCAATCGTCCCGAGCGCCCCCTCTACCCTCCTACCCACTCCCAACTCCTGCCCCCCTCTACCCTCCTACCCACTCCCAACTCCTGCCCCCCTCTACCCTCCTGCCCAGTCCCAACTCCTGCCCCCCTCCTGCTCCCTCCCACCCTGGCCCCCTCCCACCTCCTGTCCCTTGGCCCCTTCTCCTGCCGCTATTCTTCCCATTTCTCTCACTCACTTCCCACTGGCGCAGTCGCCTAGTATTCTCTTCCATGTAACCGACGTTGTACCCAGCCTAGTCCCAGCCGCCGCGGCCCTTGCCGCACGCTCTACAACTGCAACAACAACTCGTGCATAATAACTTGGATACTCTACAAATCCTTAGATGACCAACCAAGACCTCCGTGTGAATGCCGTATGTCACCCATTGATTTTCTTAAATAGTGCGATCCAAGGAAATTCACTGCGTTTTAAATTTCAACTAGACGTCAACTGGGGATTAAATTGAAACCATAACGCTTTTCGAATTTATTCGTCCAAAACATTCCGTACCAGTTTGTTACGGGTTTACGAGTTTTGACGTACATTTACAATACACTTGGTGGAGATATGGTGTTATCATTTCACTGACAGCTCAGGGGATTTTCATCTGGCGAAGTCAAAATCGAGGGATGTTGTGAAGGATTGGTCAACGGCTTTTTGAGAATTTTAGAATTTAGGTTTTTATGGAGGATTTTAATGAGTCGCAAGATTTTTTACCACCTGCTGCTTAAAAACTTGGGATTTCTGGGAATTTTCAGCTTGATTTAAAATTTCGGGGTTTTAGGTCCATTATTTTTGAACGGGGGGAAATTCTTTCGAAAGCGTCTTAAGTCTTTCAAAAATTCTTTTGGAATCGTTCTAATGATTTTGACCCGATATATTCCCCGAAATTCCTAACAAATTGTAGGGGAGAGTGAACCGGTACTTGCCTTCGTCCCTTCGAACGATTTGTTACACCTGTTCACCGATTGGGTTCGCAGGAAAGCCCTGACCGTTTAAGATGTGAACAAGAGATGACCTGGAGACGAGACGAAAGAATGGGTCAAAATTTTAGTCGATTCGTTCTAGCCAATTAAATTATCATGCAGTGACCCTGCAATATTTACAATTCACTCCGAAAAATATAATAAATTGCTGAATCCTCATTTGTTCCGCCGCCAGGCAGTTCCAAATTCCCAAAAAATTTTCAACATGCGATCGATATTATTTTTTGTCGAATTCTTCAGAAATCATTCAAATGATTTTGACCCGCTGTATTCCCCTGAAATAACTGACAAATTGTCGGGTAGAATGAACCGGTATTTGCCATCGTCTTTTTGAACGAAGAGACTTGAATTTTATGCATTCGTTACACCTGTTCCCCGATTGGGTTTGCTCGCCAATCGCAGCTCTTTATTCGCGCGAGTCGCTTTTACAACTTGCTCGTTTAAGTTTCGAGTAGTCGGCTCTCACGCCCCTTCTCCATCTCTTTCCCTGTTGCCCAACTCCATCCAGTCATTCCCATTCCCGTGTACTGCTCGTTTCAACGAGAAAACCACGAATTTCCTCTCCGCCAATTCAATTTTCACCTATTTTCCATCATTGTTTTTCCGTACCCACGACATTATCGCTACACACGAGGCAGTTGACACTGTGCAAAAATTGTTAGTAACCGACGGCGAATCAATTCCTAGTAAATATTTAACACTGAATTAATTCAAATTATGTAGATTTTTTTATTGGAGTGGACCGGTGGCCGGGGTGAGGTCGGAGGGTTACGTATTAATTCCCATGTATTGCCTTTTTCAATTGAAAGATTGAACACGATCAATCGCATCGAGCAACGAGGATACCCTTGGGGAATGGCGCTGGTGATTGGCTAGTTCCGGCATAACCCACTCCTGTACAACAAAGTTGAATGCCCCATCTGCACACAACCCGGGGTGTATAAATGCAGTCATCGGGGCCCATGTGTATCCACATGACACTGGGGCACTGTAAAAAAAAACTGAAGCAATAATAAAAAAAGCGTCAACCCCCAGAAAAAAAATACAGAGCTCTACAGATCGAAGCGTGATTTCATTCTGAACGGAATTCGTGCCTTGTATTCCACGCAACGGCCTCCATTCGTACTCCCCGAAAAAAAAACTACCAAACAAAATTTAAAAACCGAGAGAGAGAGACGGAAAAAGAAAAAAAAATGTTATTACTAAAAACCTCAATTTATTTCCCGACAAAATTAAATGCCGCACCCCACACTGTCGCTACCAATAGCGGAGGAAATAACATGCAGTCTCGTGCGGCGAGTTTGAAAAAATAAAGCTGTCCATGAGTGGAAAAAGTGACAGGGAAAAAAATACTCCAACTGAAAATGCTAGGAATAAAGTCGTTACACTGAAGCCAGTAAGCTGGCGCAACTCCCCCACCCACCGTTGGACTCCAGCCGTGATCTGGTTATTAAATTTTCAACGACGCACCTGATATAATTTTATTGGCTTCTGCGGGGCTATTGCCAGTATAGAATTTCCTCGGTGCACGCTACACTGCATGTCACCCCTTGCGCAGCACGAAATCACCCTTTCTACCCCTCTTTTTGGTTGTATCATTCGCCCGCATGCAACCGTCTGCACGTGCCCGGAGCCATTCTTAATCCTGCAAAATATGTGGAAAGATCAAAGGATTCGTTAAATATAGAATAAAAAAAAAAACTCCGAACCCCCAAATGGATTCATCCAATTAACAGAAACATTTTCCACCCATTGGATTAAACAAACACCCCCTCATTATTCCCCACTGATCTCACCCCCTCGGGCAACCATAGTTGACCCTCGGTGGGAAATATTTTCTGAAAGGTGGGCGGTAACCGATTCGTTTGGAGGGAATAAAACAGCCGGATAAACAGACGCAGTCAAATTCCGGTATTAATCGCCATTTTCTACTTATATCAATTCTAAAACAATTATATTTTTTAAAATATATTCATAAAATGTTGAAAATTTGGACAACTGTTATTACCCAGAAGCTAAAATATTCACGTGTAGTAATGTTTCAATTATATAAATAAATTACGATTGGTAATGATATGTAAATAGTAAATTTCAGTTCATAAAATTGCTAATTGATCATGAAAATGAATATGAACAATGTTTTTTTTTAATGCAGTCCACATTCGGGAATTGATGAGGCTTTGAGTGGAGTTTTTATTTTGGAATATTTTTTTTTAGTTTAATTACGATTTCCGAAAGCAAATATGGCAGAAATTTTTCTTGTTTTTTACGGTCTACCTGCGAGCGTATTTTACGATGTCAAATCGAGTAAAAAATCCGATTTGAGGTCGTAAATGTAACAATGGAGATAGAAAACACTTCCTCGGGGAATTGTAAATCTGCAGGTTTCAATCATTCCGACTGCTTATTCCACCTTTAGAGACCTTTTTTTCATTTTGTAGATGGAAAACTAATTCGCTTGGCGAATAGTTTTGTACATTGAAAAATTGTGTCTCGAGGTAATGGTTGTCATTAGTTCTACGCTCTATAAAAATTTGCAAGGCAAATGTATGAGAAATGAGATTTTTTTTCCCCGCACTGTTTCCGTTTGTCAGAGGTTTATAATCATTTATGAGGCCACTATCCACGGAATCAACGGATGGTCGATGTATAAATTGAATTTCAAAAAAGAAAAGGGGATTTTCAACTTTATGAAAAACACTCGGTTGGTTGCCGAATCCTGTCCGTAACCGTAAAGAAAAAGACATGACCAAAAAAATGGGGGATTCCCCTCGAATTAAAAATCCTAGCCTCTTTGATACGTCGATGCGGAAGAACAAGTTTTAATTAAACAGAGAATGGCCGTTTAATCGAGCAAAAAGGATTAATTGCCGAGGGGTTAAAGCACAGAGGGGGCCGAAGTGAAAAAGAATACCTAAAACACATAAAGCGAAAGAGAGAAATAGTTAGGGTGAATTTTCAGGGGAAGGACGAGTGTCTCGCCGATTTCATCGACGCAAACCTCGGCACCCCTGGATACGGCAAAAGGTTCGAATAAATATCGCTGACCACATCTCTCCTCACCCATTCGTATAACCAACATTCTCCATCCTTTTAACGTAAACCTCCGCCCTTATTTCCCCCGCCGCTATTTTTTTTTCCACGTTCACATTCTCGCGAGGCTCTTTTACTTCCAACAGTGAATAAATTAACTGTACCTAGCACCACCGGGCAAATTAAAACAAACGTGGCAATGCTTTACGACGACCCCGGGATTAAACTCGAGGAAATGTAGAAATGTAAGTTACTAACTCCTATGTATATTAGCTAAGGTCATTTCCCCCCTTTATTCACGACACCAACTTCCCTACAATCTTTATGGTAACTGTCATGAGGCATGATGTAGTTTATCAATGAATCATAGTTGGATTGAATCAATTGTAACTTTGGAATTGTCGAACGAGAACTTTGGAAACAGCGAAATGGTGAATTTATAACGATAATATTTGTCGAGGAGTAAATGAGGTTGAGGGAAAACTTTGTAATTATTCGGTGGACTTCAGAGGTTTCCGAGATTTTCCAACATTTATGAGCTCCTGGCTAAAACCACTGGTTATTCATTGCCGAATATCACCGCACAGTAATGTCTCGGACTTCACATGATTTTTGTTCGATTTCATGATTTCGAGTTCGTTGAGCCTTTTCTCCAACATAGACGAATAATTTACACTCGAAAGTGATTTCATAAAAACATCAATAGTAAACCTCGGAAGCATTCATTTAAGTTCAGTTAATCGTTTTTTTTTTCGGTGACGTCATTACTTCAACCGGGAGATAAATTCAGTACATATTACTCTGTTTGAGTAATTTTTCGGCGAGAGTTGGGTGAATATTTGCCCGCAGTTCCAGCAGTGGATCGGAGTTGATACGTATTTCATACAATCCGTTGTTTAATCT